ACTCCTCAATCATTTTTGATAATCTAAATTCGGTTATACTTTTAATATAAATGAATTTAGATTATCAAATTATTTATATATTTAGGTATTAATTCGTGTCCTAGAAATTTAACTATTTGCACTATATACAAAAATTTTTCTTTATTTCGCAGGGACACTCTTTTCATTTGAAACATCTAATACTTGTGAAAGTCGCAAATCATGTTCTTCTCCACTGTTGCCCCAAATTAAAACGTCATCAATAAAATACTTACACCTTCACATTTTATCAACATTTCTTCTAAGATTTTTTAAAACAACTCTGGTGCACATGTGATTCCAAACGTAGGTCTTTTATCTTTGTAAATTTCACTAGAAGTTGCAAATTTTGTTAAATATCTAGAGTTGGGATGCAGCTAAACTTGATGGAAAGCGTATTTAATATCTAGTTTTGAAAAATACTTTGCTTTTCTTATTTTTGGAAGCAAGTGTACTAGGCAATAGTTTTCTCTGAGAATTGTTGTATTAGCTCACCTCACGACGTATATTTCCATTATCTTTTAATATCGGTACAATAGGCGATACCTGTAAATTCATCTACTTCGGCATCTAATAACTTCTTTATCTTCCTTTTTATATTTCCCTCGATTAGAATAGGTATTTTACGATAGGATTGTATTACTAGTTTTATGGATTGATTTATTGAAATGTTTATAGCTTTTTAATTGAATGTTTACTGCCTCTTATGTCTTTGATTCTGTAACCACTTTGTCTAATGTCACTGCATCTCCCATTGTTAAAATCTTATTTCTGAGCTTTACCGATGCATATCTTTCTATTATTTCGTTTATTAATGTGATCATCGGGATCATCAAATTTGCATATTTAGTCAAGAGTTTTTTTAGAGTCAAGCTAAAAATTAACAATATGTGTGACTGTGGGGAGAATGAGTTCTAGAATATTAATAATCATGGGTCTACTAATATCATCGCAACCGACAGCCTTGGATTTGATAGCCAGAAGAGTCTTTCTAATTTCATCCTGATCTACAGGATTAAAAAGAAAGAATGATATGTGAGGAGACGGAATTGAAGCTATGTAAGCGACTTTTGAGATCGAATTGAAAGGACCAATGCAGAAGCTGAAGATGAAAATTGATTGACGTATGGAAATTCCTTAATTATTCAGGTGTGGGTAAAACACCATCTCTGGATTGTGGTTAATCTCTTTCTCACGATGCAATAAATCTTAATTTTCGTCTTCAGCTTCTGCATTGGTCCTTTCAATTCGATCTCAAAAGTCGCTTACATAGCTTCAATTCCGTCTCCTCACATATCATTCTTTCTTTTTAATCCTGTAGATCAGGATGAAATTAGAAAGACTCTTCTGGCTATAAATTCCAAGGCTGTCGGTTGCGATGATATTAGTAGACCCATGATTATTAATATTCTAGAACACATTCTCCACGCAGTCACACATATTGTTAATTTTTTAGCTTAACTCTAAAAAAATCTTGACTAAATATGCAAATTTGATGATCCCGATTATCACATTAACGATGAAATAATAGAAATCGGTCAGGCTCATCGGTAAAGCTCAGAAATAAGATTTTAACAATGGGAGATGCATTAGACAAAGTGGATATAGAATCAAAGACGTAAGAGGCAGTAAACATTTCACAACACATTTTTTGACGCGGGCACACGGCTTAGACTTAGGACTATATATGAATTCCATTGGCTTATGGTCAGTGATTAAATCAAATTTTTTACGAAAAGAAATGTGTTAAAATGTTCCATTGCCCAAATAAGAGCAAGGGCTTCCTTCTCTATTTGATTGTATTTTATTTCACAATTTATTAACGTCTGATTCCCACAGCCAATGATTCATGGACCCCTTTCATCTGTTTGTTTGGTACAAAACAGCTCCTAGTCTTACAGGTCTCACATCTGCTATAACTTGGGTCTTGTATTTGACGTCATAATATCCTAAGGTTTCTATTTTTGTTGATTTCTTTTGAGAGACCTAATTGCATAGTCCTGCTTTTCTCTCCAGTGTTTGTTTATGGTAGCCTTTTTTCTAATTTCAATCTAAGTAATTCTTTTGACGGTCCATTAATTGTAGCTAGTTTAAAAATCCATTTATTTATGTACTTTACTAATATACTTCGTAACTCCTCAATCATTTTTGATAATCTAAATTCGGTTATACTTTTAATATAAATGAATTTAGATTATCAAATTATTTATATATTTAGGTATTAATTCGTGTCCTAGAAATTTAACTATTTGCACTATATACAAAAATTTTTCTTTATTTCGCAGGGACACTATTTTCATTTAAGACATCTAACACTTGTGAAAGTCGCAAATCATGTTCTTCTCCACTGTTGCCCCAAATTAAAACGTCATCAATAAAATAATTATACCTTCACATTTTATCAACATTTCTTCTAAGATTTTTTAAAACAACTCTGGTGCACATGTGATTCCAAACGTAGGTCTTTTATCTTTGTAAATTCCACTAGAAGTTGCAAATTTTGTTAAATATCTAGAGTTGGGATGCAGCTAAACTTGATGGAAAGCGTATTTAATATCTAGTTTTGAAAAATACTTTGCTTTTCTTATTTTTGGAAGCAAGTGTACTAGGCAATAGTTTTCTCTGAGAATTGCTGTACTAGCTCACCTCACGACGTAAATTTCCATCATCTTTTAATATCGGTACAATAGGCGATATTCGATTCGATCGAATTGAAAGGACCAATGCAAAAGCTGAAGATGAAAATTAAGATTTAATGCATCGTGAGAAAGAGATTAACCACAATCCAGAGATGGTGTTTTACCCACACCTGGATAACTAAGGAATTTCCACACATTAATCAGCTGGCGAAAAATTACTTATATTGCTATGGATAAATCAGGGTTTTGCAGAACGTACCATCCGATTGCATTTGTTTCTGGAGTTCTTAAAAGACAAGCAGTTTTTCTCAGATCTACTCCTCTTGAACCGAGCAAAGGCTCAATTTTGCCTAGTCATTGTATTCCGTACCTCTTCAGTCATCTAGGGAGCTAGTGGATGTCGTAATTTTAGTTTACGTACGGAAGCATTGTTATCATACAAAACATGAATTATGTTATTAAAAATTGTTACCTTATCGTCTACTGTGGATGAAGTTGCTAATGGCGTAAAATCTATAAGCGATGCGTTTTTCAAAAGCTTATCCATATTAGTTCTTCTAAAATTACGTAGGAACAGTACAGTAGGTCGATATTTGGGAGGTTTAATGATAGGTTGTATGATACATAAATAAGGTCATGGCGGGAAAATCCCGGCGTTTCAAGTTGCATAGTAAATGATGCATAAAGTTGTATATGATAGCACCCTGTCAGAGGGCATTCACTTTTATCCACGTCAGCTATATTGAGATCAATCAGAGAGTCATCAGTGTCGATATTATGATGAGTTTCCTTTAAATAAAGAATGTTGAGATTGACAGACTCAAAGATTTTATGAAGCTTTTGAGACTGGATCGAATTTTTCAATTAATCCGTGTTGAAATCTCCCATGATTATGCAGTGAACGTACTTAGAACCAATGTTATCAAGGGCCACTTCTAAACTGGCGAAGTAGTCAGTGGAAGTAGGACAATACGCTGCTCCAAGAATCATCCTTGAGCCCTTTACTTCTAGTTCTATAAAAAGGAATTCAACGGAATCAGTATAAGGAGAAGGGTATGCTAATACGATTTTGTAAGAAATTGAAGCATGGAGATATATTGTAACTCCACCTCCTCCTTTACCTATACAATCATTCCTGATCAGCACAAACCTAGGAAGAGGATACAATACCGAATGTAAAGACGGTTTCAACCAGGTTTCTGAAATTAATATAGCGTGTATATTGTTATTAGAGAATGATGCTTCTAGCTCAGAAAAGTGTCTGGGAATGTTTTGTGCGTTAATATGGCAAACATTTAACGTTTTATCATAAAAGTGAAAAATGCTATTTAATTGGCTACCTAAAGAGGGCACACTATAATTTATGTGATCATCAACAGATACAAAAGAACTCTTCGACTCAATAGAATAAAAAGAGTTAGAGTCAGACATGATAAGTTAATTGCATAATATACCCGATATAAAAAAATAAAAAAAAAAATAGAAAACGATTAAAATAAAAATATTTATCGATAATATATAAAAAATAAAACTAAAATACTGAAATCAATGATTTAAATATTAGGAAATCGTGACACAATTTCCCACCAGTTAACCTCTTAAATAATAAAATCAGTACTAAACAACAAAAAAAGCAATTCTACTGAACTATCAATTAAAGCAGGAAAGAAATGTATCTAAAAAAACATAGGCTAAGTAACTAAATAGCAAGCCAACACAGTGATTCCAATTATAAACAATCAATGCATGTTCCAAAGAGGCAACTTGGTGTATTATTTAATTGTTTAAACGAATGAATAAATGAAGTTATCATGAAACTATATAAACGACATTTCCTTATTCCACTCAAAAGTCTCACAAAATTAAACTTTTAATAAAAAGTGAAAACCGACTTTAAAATACTACGTTATTTATGTGGTGGAGCCAAGCTGCAGCTATTTTATGGTTGTAGAACGAATGGGTCGGCTCAACCGGGAAAGGACCACGCTCTCACAGAATACCAACGTAAAATAGCAGCTTAATGATGCTGAGTTTCGTATAGTTAGTGTAGAGAATCGGAAACCCTTTTTACTGGAAACAATTCAACACCTTAGTCCTCAGGGGTGACATATGCATTTTGATTCTTAATTGAGAATAAATTTAGATGTCTATGGGCCTCAGCACCCGCTTACCACCGGGTAACTCGTTTGTCATACTTATTCTATAAAAACGACTAAAATTAATAAAATAATACGTTATAAAGTTACATACTTAAGTCGGTTATAGTGTGTGTTAGATATATCTAAGTTAAAGTTACTATTTGCTACTTACTACTTTTTTAAAAGTTTTTACCTTTATTTGCAGACGGTAGAATATGTAACAGCCCATGATTATTGCAGAGGTATAATAATAGTATTAGATTATTTGGAGACCAATCTAGTAGAACTACTAAAAGTACTGGACTTTGTTCAATTGCGTCAACTTTTTACATTATTAACTGTAAGTATATTTTTGACTGTGTAGTGGCAGTGTATGAATATCCACTACCCCAAATGGTTCCGTGGGTGTCGTACCTACCAGGTAACAGAGGTAAATAAATCAAGTTATGGGTAGCAGCTTCTTCCTAATAACGGATAGAAATGGAAAAAAAACTGCGGTTACCAACCCGCTTGCCGAGCGTGGTAACTACTGCGTGTATGTATACATACATACATACATACACACACACACACACACACATATATATATATATATATGGTAAGATCGTAAAAAAATGTAATTTTCAAAGTTTTGAGTGAGCCCATGTTTGGTTGTGAATACCATACGCTAACAAAAAGTATGATAATATTATTAATTAATAAAACATTGATAATCATGTTTAGAATAATGTATAAAAATAATAAATATTTTTGAATCAACAAAATAAAGCTGCATACAAAATTTATTTGTCTCCTATCAACTTACGGGACGAAAAAATGCAACACAATAAAATAATATGACATTATGGTTTTAAAATTGTAGTTTACTTTGAAAGCAATAAAGATGCCGTGTGATTATGTATAAATTATTGCAATAATACAATGCTAGTGGAAGAAAATCTTATTCTAATTTGTGTCTCCAAAAGTTATCCAGTGTGTTACTCCGCTTGGATATGCGGTAGATTTTTTGTTTTCAACATTAAACAACATTATTTACCTAATTTCGATGAGGCAATGTCGCAGGCTTACTGTCAAATGTCAGTTTTGACATATTTTTTTCATTTGTAGTCGTGACCGTAAACAATTGTAAATTCCATAATTTAGAGCACAAATTTCGGGCAGTGTATATGTGAATTCTACATGAGAAGTACAAAGATATCGTTTACTAGGTTCCTGATTCGAAATTTATAATCAATTACCAGTGTATGTCAAGTTTTATTAAGTAAATCGCGCATGATTTATGACCGGTATTCATTGTTGAGTTTTGAATTTTCGAGTGTGTTTGTTCCGGTTCGTTACGTGTGTTATGGTGTTTCTTATGTCACACACTGGAATATTATAAAGGAGGCTGTTCACATAACTTAACCGATTACGGTGAAATGAAAAAGTGTAATGTTATTCTGACGTACCTACATTAGAGTGGATTGTTATACTATTCTGATTTATTATTACTAGTGGTCCCTCAGTAGCTGAACTAGGTCCGTTTTTAATTAAGAGGTCGTCAACTTTCCACTCGCACAGGCCCATATTATAAAAAAATATTTACATGATAAGAAGCATTTTTTAAATTTTATAGTGGGCAAAATATAAATAAGTTATTATTAAAAACACATTTTTTTAATGTGGCTTTATTATATTTGTATGCTGAGTTTGTTAGATAAACATAAAAGTTTTTTTAATCATTACTTATTAAATTAATACTATATTATATTAATACTATATTACATTAAAAAATACGCATTTTTAAATTTCAATTTCGACTCTTTGCGAACACGAATAGTGTCAAATGGGATAGCCCTTATAATTAAAAAAACAGTAAAACAAAATTCTGTGATAAATGGTAATAATTACGGTATCTGTACTAATTGTAAACTGTAAACACATATTTGTAAAAATCGTTATATTTCTTTTATGAATGACCTACTTTGATTAGTACCTACTGTTTTTGTAAGCACAGTATTTTGTTAAAGTCTTTAATTCTACTGTGTTGTGTTATTTTGGTGTTTAGTTTCGCAAACATGCAAGCTATGCATAGTCTATGCATAGTCTAACATTCGTTTTTGATTATTTAATCTTAATTTCATCAAAATAAGTAATTGATAATATTTTACTATGGATTTTACTTGAACCTATTTCCAAGTGAACATTGACCTTTATATTAATCCAGTACGTTATTGTGTTATCGTGTGTTATATCTTCCAGTGTTTTGTTTATATATATATATATATATATATATATATATATACGCGGAAATCGCGATGGATGCGGTGAAATCGCGAAACACAGCTAGTAATTTACAAATGTAAAAATTATAGCACATATATATACATATATATGCACATATAAATAATATTTTACTATGGATTTTACTTGAACCTATTTCCAAGTGAACATTGACCTTTATATTAATCCGGTACGTTATTGTGTTATCGTGTGTTATATCTTCCAGTGTTTTGTTATATATATATATATATATATATATATATATATATATATATATATATATATATATATATATATATATATATATATATATATATATATATATATATACGCGGAAATCGCGATGGATGCGGTGAAATCGCGAAACACAGCTAGTAATTTACAAATGTAAAAATTATAGCACACATACATTCTACTGATGAACTGCTCTTCTCATTTCTGAGCAGATTTTGATATAAGATTTTTAACATTGATATAGTCACTCTAAGATGTTGTCAGATTAGCTAATTACGTAATAAATTAAAACAGAAAGACCCTAAAGTAGGGACTGAATATATTAACCAACTTGGGATTACATGGATCTCACAACTTTTTAAGGTAGTATAACTGAGTTCCGAGACTTGTTTTTTTACAAGTTATGTTTTTGATGACATTATATTTTTTAAATCATACTGATGGTTCCAGGGATTAGTGTGTAAACAAACAAAAACACTTTACCGCTTTTTTATATTATATTAGTATAGATTAGACCATGCTTCTTTTTCAGGATGGCTACGGAATGAGAATAAAAGCTTTCCATGTTATTACACCCTCAAAAACTGTGGAAGCCTTAGTTGCAATTTTTAAACAAGTTCTCAGTGCAAAATTAGGTCGACGCATTCAAATACACAAGGATTTGGAATCACTGCACAAGGTTGTCCAAAGAGATGTATTACCAAAAGAACTAGGTGGGAATGAGAGATCTATGGTTAAATTGCACAGTAAGTTTTACATTTTAATCCTATTCCATAATTATGGCATCATGTTTATAGTGCTAACCAAAAGCAGCAATAATATTTCCGTATACAGGGTTTACAATAACAGGCAAAATTTACAGATAAGGTTCAGAATAACTAATATAGGCAAATGATGAAGAAAGATTAATAAAAAAAACTCAAAAGTTTGTCCTTTTTATCATTTTAGTTTAAACCGCGTGATAATGCATCGTTTTAACTAATTTTACTGCGCACGTACACATTCGTAAGGGTTGATCGGTAGGCAAAAGCATTTTTGCCCATAAATTACATTCAAGGTGGGATAATTTCAAATAAAACTAGAAGCCTTATTCAGTTGTACTTTCAAAAACTGCAATAACGGTATATCATTATTTATTCCTTATATATTGAAACTTTTAAATTTCGCTACTCTTTAGAATATAAAACTATGCATCGTAGCAACATACTGTTCCAAAAAACTTGTCTCATGTTATCTAACCATGGACAGTTATTTTATTGATTGAACGATGATGACAATAACAAATATTTGATTTATAAGTTAGACGGTGTAATTTTGTATTAGACTTGCGACCCGCCCCGGCTTTACACATCTAATTTTTGGATCTGGACAACAGCTCTATCTACCGGGTATAATTGTAAATCTAAGCCATCTAGGGACCTACTCAAACACACACAAAAAATTTGTGATTCGACACACAGTATTAGTGATTACAAAATAACATTTATTTTTAGATTTACGCAAATGCAGTAGGATAAATTGGTTTTAAGTATTTTGTTGGATATTCAGAAATTTTGCCTATTGATTATATTTTACAAATAATTTCGAGGGTAGCTTCTAATCCACTTACACAAAACACCATAATATTTTTCAGACGATAAAAAAGTCACCCAGAATATAGATATTATACAGAGATTATGTACAATAAGCTCGATCGTAATTTTAAATGACTAATTAGGGCTGTACAGTTTTGGCTAATAATTATTATACAGTTTACATCAATATTTCATTCCTTTTTCCCCAGCCGGCATCAGAAGCCTCGACATCGACATATAAAGTATTATTAAGTTACACGTCACTTTCAAGCTTAATTTACTTAATACAGTGGCAACTACTAGTATTTCATGCAGGAACAACTCTTGCAATTTTAACACATGGTTGCAGAAACGGTCTTTAAATTTAAAATCCGACAATAGAGATCATATCTTCCATTAAACTATTGCCCAGCTTTTTTCGACATGCTTTGTCTAATCAGAAAAGCCTTTTCATAACGTTCGTGCCTGACATTGATGAACAGACATATTCCTTTTAGTTTATTTCTATTGACTATAATTTACATAAACAACTTAGTATACTCTTACAAAACCGTATTAAAAATTAAAGAGTATTAAAAATTTAAAGTAGTTTAAAGCTTGCTGTTTAATTGCTCACATTAAAGTTAAATATCATAACAAAGCTTTGATATAGTACGAACTTAATATGTAGTAATTTGAGGTGGATAACATTAAAAAAATTATGAGACTGAGGTAGTGTTCTTTAATCAGAAATTTTATTACTTTCTAACTCCCTTCAAACCATGTCCAATTAATATAAATCAGCCCAAAACGAAATAAAAGAACACAATTGCTAAAGATAATCTGGTAAAAATATGTAAATATAATGAGGAACGTTTTGACTCCTTAATAAAACATCGATCTGAGTTGACACTTAGACGCTGATAATTGCATTATTTTGCTATGACATGGGAAAACTCTAGACATCATTTTAAATAAATCGTTATAGGGACCAAAAATTACAAATTCATACATAATTGGAGCATTTTTAGTAAATTCTAATAAAATTACATAATACATAACAAACACTCACGCCTGTCACCCAGAGGGGTAGACAGAGACTACAGACTTCCATTTGGCACGATCTTAACACACCTCTCTCGCCTCCTCCACATCCATATACCTACGCGTACATGCTCGTCGGTTAAGAATAATCTTGATTTGGCCCATTTTCATTATATCGCCAATTTAGTCGATATACTTTCGCCTAGGACGTCCTTTTCCGACTCTGCCGTTTACTTCTGCAACATAAATTTGCTTTGTCACCCTTTCCTCAGTCATTCTTTCACACCACCGAAGCATTCGTTTCTTAATCCTGGTCACAACATCATCTTACAAACCACACTTTTCTCGTATCACACAATTTCTCACACAGATTCAACTTAAATAAAATTCTAAGTAAAACTCTAGTTACTAAATTTTGTCCAAATAGTAAAATAATATTTTTTGTTGCTAGAAGATGTAGTATAAACAACAAACAGTTATAAAGATAAATTTAAAAAACTTAATTACCTAAATGTATACAAAATTAGCTTGTTTTCATTGCCTTACATAGCAGGATTGCCAAAAGAAAATACACTAAAACATTATTTAAATTTACAAATGAATAATTTGTTTAATGTATAAAAGTAAATGTTTGTTTGTTCGTATTTTATGTGCTGCCCTACCGTTCATCATATATTATGGAAATACTACAATAAAATTACAGTAGGTGGCGCACGTAGCCTAATGACAAATATTTTTTAAAGGACGCATTATTCAACGTCAATGAATGTATAACAATATAACTCTTTCAAGCTCAAAATGATTTTTCGGCAATTATTTCTTCTGCAGCTGCAACGGGCCGGGTGCCAGCTAGTATATATTAATAATTTAAATTTGATATACTTATAATAATAATGATAAGAATGAAGAATTTGATTTATTTAGTATAAATAATTTAATTAACAAGTTCCGAACAAAAGGTAGGTATTACCTATCCAAATATAATTTAAAACTGGTGACAAATATGCTATCTTATTATTAACATTCGGCCAAGTTTTTGGCTACCAAGACATCTGCATTGGACCTTCAAGAAACTTGCTTACTTTTTTTATGAGGCCGGCAACGTATTTGCAAACCCTGGTGATTTAGTTGTTCATGGGTTGCGGTCGACACCATCGGGTGAGCCGCACGCTCGTTTGCCCACTTATATTTAATAAAAAAAAGTTTCGTATCCTAACCTCATTTCATTAGATTTTATTTTTATTTTCTAACTCATATTTGTTATAAAATGCTATAAGAATTTGTTATTTATGTGTTTTATACGTGCTATAATAAACGTATTCTTTCTTACAGAAGAATGGATAGATGTTGTTAGTTCAAAAGAGTTTCAAGAATATTACTGCAAAATGAAAGCAGCTACGACAAATGAAAAATACAGACAGACTGATAAATTAAATGACGAAAATATGGGAATAGCAGGCACATTTAAAACATTAAATATAGATTAGTGATTCTAAACAATTTTTGTTTTAACAATAGATTATTTGTATTATATATATATATATATATATATATAAATAATAATTTTTGTTTTGTCATTGACTTAATATACTCACCGGCACGGAAACTTGGCCAAGCGGTTATCTCGCGGTAGCAAAAGCTTTAAGTGTTTCTGATGAATGTTTGTTATGCAAGTATGTCAAAAAATGTTTACCCTCAAGTTCAAGAGGGTAATTCATTATGTTTAAGTGCACCATGACGAATTCTTTAATTTTTAGTTGAATCGGGTCATTTGAGCGACTAAGTTCACATTTTAAATTTGTGTGTTGTGAAAAGTTTACTGTAAGGTTATTCAATTATTGTGATCTTGTGTCTTAATTAAATAACTAAAGGTGCTTTAAAGCCAATAAAAATGCCATTAACACCAGCACAAGTTGCACAAGCAGTAGCATTAATTGACCAAGGGCTGACACAGCGTGAAGTTGCTATTGTGCTTAACGTACCACGGTCCTCAATGCAGTATTCACTGAAACGATACCAGGAGACAGGCCGCTACACCCGCAGGCCAGGCAGTGGGGGCGTAAGGTACACATCGGCCCGGGACGATCGTTTTATTGTTATGGAGATTTTGAGAAACCGCTACCTGACCGCTGTTGAGATACGCCAGCGGCTCCAAATCGCAAGGTCTACAATTTAGGAAACAGAACACCGTTCGTGGCATCATCTGGAAACGTTCAATATGCAAACGCAAACTCGCAAACAACTATAGGGATTTGGGAAAATATGGATGCACACGGAATGATAAAATTAGGGGAAGGAATAATACCAAAAACATTATACGGTTCAAGATTAGGAGAATTAAATGTACAAAACCAACATAGACAAATACCAGGAGAAAACCAAAGCGCAGCATGCCAAGGCAAATTCATTGACAATCGCTTAGAATATTGGTATCACAACGGAATAAACGACGGAACATCAACATTCCCAAACAGTGTAGAACAGTACTCTTATTTACCAGCAATTATTGCAAGTGCAAAAATATTTTATAACGCTACAAACTCAATAGGATTAATATATGAAAAAAGTTATACCCCAAAAGACGGAACATTTCATTTAAAAAATGACGCATGGCGATTTATGAACTACGATTATTTAAAAAACCGAAACCCAGTACACAATATAGTATTGAGAACGGGCGAACAAGTAGCAGTGCAACACACAGCAGCAGATCCCATAAAATATGAACTCGCAACAGTCGATAATTACTTATACAATAATTACAGAGACACGCCAGAATTACACTTTATACCACCGGTAGGCATTGGAATATTACCACTGCTAAGCAACGACGGTAATCACGAAAACAGCATATTAAATATAATGGTAGAGATGGGAATTGAAGTCGAAACACAATCCCACGGGGGCAACGTACTCTTTACGGCAATGAGAAATGCACAACCGAACCCAACCGTTATGGGCTACATGACGATGAATCATCAGTTTGCGGAACCGATTGTAGGAGATCAACCCATAACACCGAGCACAACGCAAACACTGGAAAGGCAACCCGAACCAACAAGCGTTGACGTGGAAATAGCAAGTAGAGTTAGAGCAAGAAGAGATGACGGAGGATACGATGACACTATTATAAGACAGGAACAGAGATTATTGCAGCAGGAAACACAAAGATTAGAAAGACAATTACAATACGACGAACGCATGCACAACGATGAAATAAAAGCCATAAAAGAAACAACAGAAAAAGCATTACAAGAAATTAAAAAATTAGAAAAACAATATAAAGATATGATAAGTCACAAACCACCACCACCGAAAAGACAACGCGAAACACCTCAACCACCACCACCACCACCAGCAGCACAACCACCGAGACCACCACCACCAAAATCACCAGAACCAGAACGAGCGTTTAATTAATTTAAATTTTAATTAAAACTTTGTACCATACACCAAAAATATTATTGTACCACACACCAAAATTTAAATAAAAATATATTTAATATTCGAACCGCATTTTTATTGCATAAATTTACATATTACATATTACGAACACAACTTACGGACTATATGCCGAAGGTGAAGGCGAATTCGCCGAATAAGGTGGAGGCGGCGACCGCGGTACAGATAATTCACGATCATTGACAGTATCATCATCTGAATCGGTGAACGTGGGGGACGGCAGGAGACGACGAGGAGCCACAGGGACCAAACGAGGTACTCCACGTCCAGGGGGAGTCATAATAGGAGCCAACGGTAAACGACCACGAACAGAAAGGCCACGAAGCAATCTCCCTCCGCGGACGTTGACACGAGTGGGCCTGCAAAAGAGACCACCGTCAATCTATGGTTCGGTTAGGTTAGGTTAGGTTAGTTTAGGTGTAGGTGACTTAAGGGTAGCAAATATGAATTAAAAAATTGAAAAATAAAATTGGGTAAAAGTGGGCCCCTGGCCCTGGGGTCCCGGCGACTGCGACCAGGGCGCGATCATCAATGTATTCCCCATAGCAACCGATCCCAATATTAAAATTTGGAATAAATAATGAGATTAGGAGAATACAAGACTAGACAAATTTGACCCAATCCGAGCCAACAGGCTAACCTGGCTAACCTGTTGGCTCGGATTGGGTCAAATTTGTCTAGTCTTGTATTCTCCTAATCTCATTATTTATTCCAAATTTTAATATTGGGATCGGTTGCTATGGGGAATACATTGATGATCGCGCCCTGGGCGCAGTCGCCGGGACCCCAGGGCCAGGGGCCCACTTTTATCCAAATTTATTTTTCAATTTTTTAATTCATATTTGCTACCCTTAAGTCAACTACACCCTAACCTAACCTAACCTAACCGAACCATAGATTGACGGTGGTCTCTTTTGCAGGCCCACTCGTGCCAACGTCCGCGGAGGGATATTGCTTCGTGGCCTCTCTGTTCGTGGTCGTTTACCGTTGGCTCCTATTATGACTCCCCCTGGACGTGGAGTACCTCGTTTGGTCCCTGTGGCTCCTCGTCGTCTCCTGTCGTCCCCTACGTTCACCGATTCAGATGATGATACTGTCAATGATCGTGAATTATCTGTACCGCGGTCGCCGCCTCCACCTTATTCGGCGAATTCGCCATCACCTTCGGCATATAGTCCGTAAGTTGTGTTCGTAATGTGTAATATGTAAATTTATGCAATAAAAATGCGGTTCGAATATTAAATATCTTTTTATTTAAATTTTGGTGTGTGGTACAATAATATTTTTGGTGTATGGTACAAAGTTTTAATTAAAATTTAAATTAATTAAACGCTCGTTCTGGTTCTGGTGATTTTGGTGGTGGTGGTCTCGGTGGTTGTGCTGCTGGTGGTGGTGGTGGTGGTTGAGGTGTTTCGCGTTGTCTTTTCGGTGGTGGTGGTTTGTGACTTATCATGTCTTTATATTGTTTTTCTAATTTTTTAATTTCTTGTAATGCTTTTTCTGTTGTTTCTTTTATGGCTTTTATTTCATCATTGTGCATGCGTTCGTCGTATTGTAATTGTCTTTCTAATCTTTGTGTTTCCTGCTGCAATAATCTCTGTTCCTGTCTTATAATAGTGTCATCGTATCCTCCGTCATCTCTTCTTGCTCTAACTCTACTTGCTATTTCCACGTCAACGCTTGTTGGTTCGGGTTGCCTTTCCAGTGTTTGCGTTGTGCTCGATGTTATGGGTTGATGTCCTACAATCAGTTCCGCAAACTGATGATTCATCGTCATGTAGCCCATAACGGTTGGGTTCGGTTGTGCATTTCTCATTGCCGTAAAGAGTACGTTGCCCCCGTGGGATTGTGTTTCGACTTCAATTCCCATCTCTACCATTATATTTAATATGCTGTTTTCGTGATTACCGTCGTTGCTTAGCAGTGGTAATATTCCAATGCCTACCGGTGGTATAAAGTGCAATTCTGGCGTGTCTCTGTAATTATTGTATAAGTAATTATCGACTGTTGCGAGTTCATATTTTATGGGATCTGCTGCTGTGTGTTGCACCGCTACTTGTTCGCCCGTTCTCAATACTATATTGTGTACTGGGTTTCGGTTTTTTAAATAATCGTAGTTCATAAATCGCCATGCGTCATTTTTTAAATGAAATGTTCCGTCTTTTGGGGTATAACTTTTTTCATATATTAATCCTATTGAGTTTGTAGCGTTATAAAATATTTTTGCACTTGCAATAATTGCTGGTAAATAAGAGTACTGTTCTACACTGTTTGGGAATGTTGATGTTCCGTCGTTTATTCCGTTGTGATACCAATATTCTAAGCGATTGTCAATGAATTTGCCTTGGCATGCTGCGCTTTGGTTTTCTCCCGGTATTTGTCTATGTTGGTTTTGTACATTTAATTCTCCTAATCTTGAACCGTATAATGTTTTTGGTATTATTCCTTCCCCTAATTTTATCATTCCGTGTGCATCCATATTTTCCCAAATCCCTATAGTTGTTTGCGAGTTTGCGTTTGCATATTGAACGTTTCCAGATGATGCCACGAACGGTGTTCTGTTTCCTAAATTGTATATTTTCATGTATACATTTTTTACTTTTGCTGTGTGCGTTCCCGTTAATATGTCATCGTATTCTTTGTGCGTTAAATACATGAATAATTTATGCCATGGTATCGTATGTATAAATGTTTTTATTATAATTGCTCCGTTTGATGAGTCTGCACTCGGTTTGTATACTTTATATGTGCATAATGAGCTTTTTATATGGAAATTAAACATTTTTTGAAGGAATAATTATGAATGTGTGTTTCATTGTAGACTCCAGTTCCTATTTTGTTGGGACCACTCACTAATGGTTCTCCTTCCATTGTTTTCGGTAATCGAAGTCTCCTTAATGCCGATTCCGATCGGAATCTTGGATATATTCGTCCTAATACCCGTTCTCCTAAATATTTAGTGCCTATGCCTGCTAATGCCGCTAATTTTGCGAATTTGTCGTATTTACTTTCTGGTGAGTATGCGTATACTTGTTTTAAGAATTCTTCGTCTGCTTTTTTTATTTCGTTAGTTGCTTCTTTTTCGAATTTTTTTTTTGTCAAATTCGTTATTACTTGTAGATATTTTATACTCGTATTCTTGTTCTATTCTATTATATGCTTCGTCGTGTGTTTTTGCTATTTGATCCAATTCGTTTGTAGGTTCTCCTAACTCCAAGTCGTTGCCTGGTCCTAAGTATTTATAGCCAGGTAATGTGAAACCGGTTGCCGCGTCGCCCGACTCGGACATACTGGTTATATATCGTTATGTTTCTTTGTTTTATGTGCGCCTGGTACTTTCAACCCTTTAAACCTAACGTGTTTTTTCCTGTTCGCACGCTATTAATTTATGTAAATTAAAAACGTTCATTGGTATTCATGACATTTACTTTTAAAGGTCAACATGACATTTTTATGTATATACATTAAAATTCTTAATTAAAATTCAGACTGCATACAACTTAAATTTAAAATGTTAATTTATTGATAACATTGTAATTTATTTTATATTCGAGATACACAAGTTAAATGCATACTGGTTTCGAAGTCATCGTCGTCGTCGATATAATTAGCATAAAAGTCATCGTAATTATTATTTGGAGCTGCGTTAATATTGTGCTCGATCTCTTCGAAGAGTGACGCGTTGCCATATTTTTTCCCAAAATTTTTCCCATATGAATGCATTTAGTTTTATAAATTCAGTTTTGTGATAGAAGTTATATTGAATTGTTCTTTCTGCTATTGCATCGTGGGTGTTGCCACATTGTAAGTAAGTACCAATTTCGTAATTACTTGCCGTGTACAATACGCAGTTTTCAATTAACAGTTGATTTTTATATTTAACTTCTGTATTCATTGTTTGTCCTCCTGCTAGTAGTTTCCATTGTTCAAATTGGTTGTCGGTGAGTCTGCACTCGTCCATGAAACATGCATTTCTTGTTACTAAATTTGCAAAGTTGAATGCCGATGTTGGTTGTAGTCCTGTTAATATTGCATAGTTGTAGTGCATATCTACTAGTGATCTCATTAGCATTGTTTTGCCAGTGCTCGGTGGTCCGAAGAAGAATAGGTTGTTCTTTTTGCCTGTTTTTCTGAAGAAGTGTTCTTTTGTATCTCTCGCGAATTTAAATAGATCGATGTTGTTTTGCATTAGCAGTCTTTCCATTAATGAGACGCCTTCGTATATTACTGTGGGATCGTTTGCTGTAGGGTCTAACGCTATTAATCTTGTTTTCGCTCGTTGTAATCTCTGTTCTGCTGATTCTTGAAATACCAGAATCTTGGCAATTGATATTGCTGTCTTAAGTCTGTCGTCAAAGTTTCTCGTAAATTGTATGGCAATCCCTTCAGGCGTTCTGCAAAGTAGTTTCTGAGCCTCTCCTTCGTCAAGAGCTTGGTTTTCACATAGGAAAAGCACAAGTTTTTGATTTTGTTGTGTAAGTTGATTATGCTTTTGTGCACATTTGAGTCTGGATCTATTTGGAAAGGGATACGATTCATCTCTAGATTCATCGTATTCCTCGTTGTCGATATTATATTATATAATTATATTATATAATTCATATTCGGGACGGAATAATAGGTTTTCATCGGTTCTAGAAGTGTGTTCACCCATTCGTCTGTCATGCATATCTCGTGTTGTGCCTTGTTCTGGATATATATTATCTCGCCTTTCGGTATGTTCAGTGTTATTTTCTTTTCTCTTGTTAGTTCTAAGACCAAGTTGATGAGTTGCACATTTTGCAATTTCGTAATCACTTCTTGTGAGAATTTGTTTAAATGTATGACGATCAGGGCCGGAAGTAATGTACTCCAAAAGACACTGAATGCATGCAATTGCAGAACATTTGTATTCTTTTGCTCTGATAGCTTTGCCAAGCTTGCTGTTAAACCCCCAGTTTTTTGCCGTGCTGATATAAATGATATGGTAATGGTGTCGCTTGGTTCCTTTATGGTCAGCGATGACTTTCCAAGGACTGAGTTTATTTCTGTTGGTAATATATTTTCTCGCTCCCATTGAGCAATCCAATGAATTGCTGTTGTCGTCGGTCGTGGTGTCACCCCTTCTTGCATGGACGTTGTAAGTTTCGTTGTTTTCGGAGATTGGTGATGAGCTGTCGCCTCGTCTAATTTCCTCCGCAGACCGTTCGATTTCTGTTGTGATGTGTCTTCTTCGGCTTGGCCCGGCTTGTGGTTCTCCTTGTCTTCTATCCAGTGTTTGTTGTCGTCCATCACTGTGGTGTTGTGGTCCATCTCGTCCTCCGAGCCGATGTACTGAGTGTCTTGAACTTGTTCGCTGTCGCTCATTTTCGCTGATTAAATATTCTTCTACGTTGATACTTGTTATTATGTGGTATGCTGCGTACATACTGATGCTCCCTTGTGGGTTGTATGCCCTTTTATATTAATTTTTTGTGCGTGTATGCGTTGTAATGTCCCCTTCCCTTTGTTCATTGCAATGTATTTACCGTTCGTTGAAAACTTTCACTGTCCCGGTTTAGGTTAGGTAGGTGTGTAGGTGTGCATGTTGTAGGTGCTATGTGGGTGGACGTGTGACGTCATTCACTTGGCGAACGAAGTGAACCATGTGAATGACGTCACACGTTGTTACGTGTAGTAGTGTAGTAGTAGAACCTAACCTAACCTCCCCTAACCTAACCTAACCTACCCTTTTTTTTTTTTTTACGGGGGGGAAATCCTCATGGACTGCCTCTGCCTGGGGACAGGCGGAGGGGTGTGCCGGACTCTTACCGGCTAAAACCACCCCGGTGTCTCCTCGCACGTGCACGCGCGGGGCCGCGGGAATCCAAATTCTTCCGCAGCCCCACACTAGTGCTGGCCCGGTCTGTACGGGCCTCGTCTCCTGCACGGGGTAGTGAGGTGTTCAACTACCCCCTGTATCACCTCAGAGGCACGCGCCGACACCCACGCGTGCCTCCGCCTCGGGTCCATCGAATAGGGGGGCGGGGGCTTCCCCTAGTCCCTCGCCCCTGGACTTATTCATGGGGGCTGGAAAAGGGCGTTGTCCGCCCTTCTCCTGCGCCCGGTGCGCCTTCTGCGGCCAGGGAAGGGAGTCGAGATCTCCCTCTCCCGTTCCGCAGTTTCCTTCTGCGACATCACGTCCTCACAGAAGGACACCACTGCATCCCACGATTCTGCGCTACCGACCATACTCCGCACCAAGGCCGACAGCGACAAATCGCCTCCTACTACATTTGTGAGGACACGGCGCTGCTCCTCCCAAGCTACACACTCGGCGAGCGTGTGTTGCGCCGTGTCCTCCCCGCAATGGACGCAGTGGTGGCACCGAGCGTCCGGCTCCCTGTCTATGCGGCACAGGTACTTGCCAAAGCAGCCGTGCCCCGACAGCACCTGCGTCACCCTAAACGACAGGGAGCCGTGCCTTCTCCCGAGCCAGTCGTCGAGTACTGGCCGGATCGCCTCGACGATAGCGAGGCCGGCGGTAGGGCGCAGAAGCCTTTGCCGCCTTTCCGCCACCAAGACCTGACGGAGCTCCTCTCGGCGCAGCGCGATCTGTCGCTGCACCGGCCTCGAGCCCCGTCCCCGCTCTTCCTCGCGCCATCGATATAGTGACGCGAGTACTTTTGCCTCTAGGTCCCAGGGCGGGGATCCGGCCAGGACGCAAGCCGCCTCGTAGGAAATCGTGCGATACCCGCGGGTGACTCTGACGGCCATCGCCCTCTGCGGTTTGCGCAGAATGGCGAGAGTGCTGGCCGTCATGTCCTTCGCCCATACAGGGGCCCCATACAGGGCCATGGACCGCACGATTCCCACGTACAACCGCCTACAGGCAGCGCCGCCGGAAGTGGGGCCCAAATTCCCATCGGCTGTCGAGCACCAATCCCAGGTACTTCATGGTGGACTCGACAGCTATCCGGGCCCCGCCGACCACGATGTGCGATCCCGGTGGCGGCGCGCGTCGAAGGCCATGAAACACCATGGCCTCCGACTTGTTAAGGGCCACCTCCAGGCCCAGGCACCGGATGCGGTTCACCACTTGTGAAACCGCAGCCGTGGCAACCAACGCTGCTTCCCTGTGCGAGCTCCCCCGGGCAGTGACGAGCGTGTCGTCCGCATAACAGGTCAAGTCAGCGCCCGACGGGAGCTCACCTCTCAGCACCCAGTCGTACCCGATGTTCCACAGGAGCGGTCCCAAGACCGATCCCTGCGGAACACCGCACGACATGACGCGTCGACCAGCGCTGTCACGTCCCCAATACGTGACGCATCTCTCCTCAAGATAGGCCCCTATTGTGCGGCGGAGGTAGGGAGGCACGCGATGGTAATTAAGCGCCTCCCGAATACAACTCCAGGGTAGGGTGTTGAAGGCGTTGGAGATGTCTAATGACACCGCCAGCACCACCCCACCCCGGGATACTGTCTCCTCCGCCAGGGCCCTCACGCGCGTAATAGCGTCTATGGTGGAGCGCCCGCGACGAAAACCAAACTGGTTCTCGTCCAGGTCTGGCCCCACTCTGCACAAGTGGCTAACGAGGCGATCTGCGATGATACGCTCAAGAAGTTTGCCCGCCTCGTCGAGCAGCACTATGGGCCGGTACGCGGACGGTGAGTCCGCGGGGCGCCCCTCCTTCCTGAGTAGGACCAGCCTTCCCTCCTTCCACACACTGGGAAGCTGAACCTGCTCGAGACATGCCGTGAAGAGCCCCCTCAGCTGGGGCTCCAGCTCCTTCAGAGCCAGGACGAGAGCTCGACCAGGAACTCCGTCGGGTCCGGGCGCTGTGTTCTTGGCCCGAAGTCGCGCCATGGCCGCTCTCATCTCTGCTTGCGTCACCTTGGGGACATCGGTGCTCTCCTCCTCTGGAGAGTCTGTGGCTGAGGGCGAAGCCATCGCCGGGGGAACGTGTCCCACTCGTTCAGGGAAGAGAACTGATACCACCGTCTCTAGCAACTGGGGTTGCATTGTTTGCGTTAGTGGAGGCGCCCAGGAACGCAACTTGCCCCGTACCCAACGGTAGGGGCGCCCCCACGGATGCCGATCTAGGGACCCCAGCAGCTCCTCCCTGGCACGCGACTTCGAGTCGCCGATGGCCAGCCACAGAGTCTCCTTAGACGCGCGGTACACCTCATACAGCGCGTCCTCCTCGGCGGAATCCCGTCGACGCCGTCTCCGGTATCGGGTGTACCGGCGTCGGGCCGCAACGCACGCTATGCGCAATTGCGCGATCTCGGCGGTCCACCAGTACACCTGGTGCCTTGCAGACCGTTGGCGGACACGGGGCATGGACGCGTCACAGATCTGCGTCATCGCCCCGAGAAACCATAGCGCCACTGCTTCGACGTCGACGGTACCGTCCGTTGCCGACTCCCAGATCCAGGACTGGACTAAGGCAGCTTCCTCGAGTGGTTCCCTGTCGATGCGCTTAAGCGCCCAACGCGGGCCGTCGTTAATCGGGGTAGTTGGATGGCGGCCTCTCGCAGTCTGGGCAGAGACGTCGAACCGGATATACCGATGGTCCGACAACGTGTCCACCCCTACGGCGACACGCCAGTCGCGGACTCGGCTGGCGACAGAGGGGCTGGCAAACGAGACGTCCACTATCGACCCGCCCCGCTGCCGCACGCACGTGTATTCCGAACCCCGATTCACGACGACCAGACCAGTTGTCACTGTCCACTCTTCTAGCACCTCGCCCCGAGGATCAGTGACCGGAGATCCCCACGCTGATGACTTTGCGTTGAGATCCCCGAGCACCAGAACGGGACGAGGGTGATAGCGGCCTACGACGGCGCCCAACTCGACAAGGAAACCCTCAAAGTCGGCGAGACTCTTGTTGGGGGAGAAATACGCCCCCACAATAACGATACCACACGAGACCGCAGCAACCCAGCCACGGCCCCGAGACGGTTCGATCAGAGTCTCGCCAATAATGGCCACCAAACCGTCAGCGCATCCCAGCCAGTTGTCACGGGCGGGAATGAAGTACGGTTCGGCGACCACAGCCACGTGAATCGACCACTCTGCCAAGCTCTGGAGTAGGAGATCCTGAGCTCTGGCACAGTGGTTGATGTTGCCCTGGAGAAAATGGAACTTTGCCATTATTGGCATTCCATTTCCTTCTCAACGGTCCTGGGCCGGGAGTCGCCCGCGGAGCTACTGGCCTGTGTGGGCAGCGAGGTTAACTCGGCAGGCTTGGTGCTCCTCTTCTTTTCTTTTTTGGCCTTGGACTTGCTGGTAGGCGCCCCACAGGCCCCTCCGCCTACTCTGTGCTCCGCTGGCCTTCCCGCAGCAGAGCAAAGGCTGCAGTTGAACGCCGCGGTGCACAGGGCCGCCTTGTGGCCAGGCTGGCCGCAGCGGTAACAAAGGTCACTGCGGTCAACCTCGGCGGTGCACTTCGCCCGGACGTGCCCTTTTTCAAGGCACCGGAAGCACTGCAAAGCCCGGGACTGTAGCAGCTTCGTCCTTGCCGCCACCGAGCCTACCAGCAATCTGCCGCTATCGGCAACCTTCTTTGCCGCCGCTACAGGGCACCGAACCCAGACCGCGCCAAGTCCGGTGGCATCGGTGCGTATATCGCCGGCCCGCACCTTGTCCGGCGGACACTCTCCGCTTCTGGCAACGGCCGCCACCACCTCCTCAGGTGTCACGGAGTCGTCCAGGCCAGCAATCCGCAATTCTGCGGTTTTCATTGGTCTGGAGACCCGGACGTCCTCAGGGTTGAGGACCTCTCTCATCTTGGCGGCCAATGCGTCCGCCTTTTCGGCACTGTCGCTCACAGTGCCAGCCACCTCGAACAGCCGCGCACCCGTGGCAGCCTGCCTGAGGGTGACGGACTGAAGGCCAAGATCTGATAATTTAATCTTGGCCTTGGCCTCAGCGATGACCGACTGGTACGTCACGCCACGCTCCACAGCTCCGGGCTGCAATGTTATTGTCACCGCATTGGACCGCGGAACACGTACAGCCGATTTCTTGCGACCGCCTTTGGCAGTCGGCCGCTCAGGTTGAGGAGCCGTCTTTGCGGTTCCACCTGGGGCATGTGCAGCTGCTGCGGCCTTCTTGGCGGCTTTGCGGGCCTTCTTGCGGCCCACGACTTTCGCCCATGTCTCACCCTTAGACCCGGCTGTCGTGGGCTGGTCGCTCGGAGGAGCTCCCTCCGCGGGCTTTTTTTACCCTCCATGGGCTTCCCCTTTTGAGGCGCAAGTCTCGGCGGCTCCTCAGTTCTCCGCGTGTCAGCTGCCAAAGGCGGACGTAGGGTTTCCGCCGGGAGACGCCGAGAAATCGCCTCCAGCCGAGCGTTAACCATGCTCCCGCACTGGAGCATGCA